AGAATTGGACAGTGGCATGTCCGTTAGCCTGTATGTTTTTGTCTGTCCACTCTGTGCGAATTGTGACTCGGTCATTTCCTAGGGTAAGGGTAATTGCCTTTTTTAGAGGAGCAATCTTGTACATGGCGGGGGCCAGGTACAGTTCTGTAAGGATGGGTGAGAGGCTCGATCCTTGTCCAACTCCTAAGGCAAAATCCATGGGGTCGAGGGTTTCTCCATTAAACATGAATTGTGTTTGTCTGTCAGTGAGATAGCTAACAAAGTATTTGCAAAGTTTCCTTGTGAATTCCTGCTTCAACAGGATCTTTGTCAGGAGTTGGTGATTGACTGATGGGAAGAATTGGGCAATGTCCAGGAGGACTGCTGAGAAATCAATCCCTTTCTTCCATAGTTGTTTGACGTTATGGACAAGTTGGATGCCTGCATCCGTGGTGCTGTGTTGCATCGTACCACCAAATTGGCATGGGTGCATAGCCCCATATTTTTGTGACTTGAACTGCATTCGCCGTGATATTATTTTTTCCATCAACTTGCCCAGGCAATTTAGTAGGACGATGGGGCGGTAGGCTTTGGCCTTAGTATAATCAGGTCTCTTCGGTTTCGCTATGATAACCGTTTTGGAGACCTTGAACACTCGTGGTTGTACACCTAATTTTACACACGCGTCGTAAAAGACGAGTATGGGAAGTTCACAATCTTTTTTATCCGATTCCTCGTCGTTTCTGTATTCTGGACTGGATTCATCCTTGAGTATTCTCTTGAGCCAGAACCACAATACATGATCGGGGCCCGGTGCCGAGAAGTTGCTTATGCCTTTAAGAGCCTCACGCATTTCTGTACGGCTCATGGGCAGGAACGCTCTTTCCTCGAGTTATTCCATTTCATCAGCGATACTCATATCTACTGGTCGACCATTGGTCGGGGTGAATTGCTGTTGGAATATTTCGCCAACTCCTTTGAAGTCCATGACGATTTGTCCTTGGTTATTCGTAAGAGCGACGCTAGCCGTTTGTTTTCTTGGCTTGGTCCATTCTACATTATTCCATATTCTCGACGGATGTGTGTGCTTTAATACTCCTTCAAGAAGTTGCGTCTAGCCCTCTTCGCTGCTCCCTGTAAGTGTTTGGCAGCTATCTTAATTTTTTGGGATTCCTCAATGAGACGGATAGCATCCATGTCATTTTTGTTCTGGAGATTAATCACCAAGTCATCCTCACACTCTGATATGCCCAAACAGTGGATCATAGTGTATCTAGCTCGAATGAGTTTATTCCTCTGTTGTACATCCTTTTTAATGGATTTTACATTAGAGTGAATGTCACGTAGCTCTTTAGCCTGTTTATTGCATTCAGAATTCCACCACAACTTAGCATGGTGTGAGGGGGTGACTTTTTCAGCGTTGGCCGACTAGGCTGTGTCAAACATGTATTGGATCCAATCTCCCCAACATTCAATATCCCCTTCTGAGGTGTATTCTTCAATATTGGTAGGCATGGCCGCGATGCGACCTCTGCAGGACTTTATAAAGTTTTGGCCCTTTTCCGAGCCCCTTTTGACTGTGTATTTAACTTCATCGATCGTTTCCAAGTCAATTTTTATATAAATTGGGCAGTGGTCGCTATTGACCTGTTGGTTATGTTTGTGTTCAACATCAAGCATGTTAAGGGCTTCATTGGTCCATACTAGGTCTAATGTCCTGTCTTGTTGGTCTTCTCTGTTAGAGGACCATGTATGAGAGTATTCAGGTTGTGTGCTGAGGGACAGATTCATGTCCAGTGTGCACATCTTAATTAAATCCTCTGCTTGGTGGTTGAGCCTAGCGTTGACGGAGATTGCAAAATCCCACATGCGATGCCTTAGATTAAAGTCTCCTGCTATGAGGTGTATTTCTGGCATGTCATTGGCTTTGTTCTCAAGATAGTGCTGAGCACTATGTGTTTTGGAATCATTGTATACATTGAGTATACAAATAATTTGTTTGTTGGGCATGGTTAGCTCCAAACATTGGGCATCATCGTGGTTTATGATACTCGTGTTAAGTCGTGGTGCAAGGTGAGCCCAACGTCTATTGACGATGGTGCACACTCGTCCTTTTTCAGAAGCTCCCAGAAACATATATTGCCTATGGGTTATTCTTTGGTGATATTCATCTCTGTCTTTTGACGTGGTAGACATTATTTGTTTGATGTACCCCCAAAAGGGTTCTTGTACTAGTACGACATCTACTTTTCTGTAGTTTCTTTCTAGGAATATCGCTAGATTGTCTCTAGATTTCTGTACATTGAATGAGACCACTGTGAATGGTTGTCTCTCATTGTTTTGGGAGGGAGGTTGTGAATCATTGGGCAGATTCACCCTAATCTCTGCTTCTGTCCTCATCTGATCTATGTTGATGGATGGAGGCAGTGTTTCTGAATTCTCAGTTGTCTCAGAGGTCATTTCTTCCTCCATGTCTGTGTCCCAGTCTTCTTGGTACATGTTTTCGAGGGATTCAATGTCCAGGTTAACCCCTTTATTCGGCATCTCCTCGTCCTCTGTCAAGGTCAAGTCAAAATTGAATTTTGACTCTTCAGTAACATTATGTTGTGCATCACAGTCACAGTCTTCTGGTACTGCGTCCATGTCCATGTCATTTGTTGTACTACTCATAGGCAATGATACAAGGTAGTGTGCGATTATTACATGAACATATCATGTGTGAAGGTGACTGGACTCTGGACTCGATTGGCCGTTCAAGTCTATTGTATCCTATCGACCTTACGGGTAACGTAAAATAAATTAATCAATGTTCTAGCCTGGGGCTGGATGATGATGGTCCTATGTGGCCTACTATAGTAGTCACATGTTGAGAGTCTGGACCTGGGCCTGACAAGTCAGGTGTTGTCCATGCCTCTTACATGCCGCTTATAAGATGGCTTCTGTGTACTCGGTTTCCCGAAATAAAGTGAGATGCCTTCCCGAGCGTTAACTTGTTGGGGGTCTTGAGCAGCAATGCTGCGTTTGGGATTTCTCCCTGCTTCCCCTTTCCCCTGAAGGGTCCAGGTTCCACTGAATGACTCTGCAGCCATGTTCCGCTGGGCAGAGATGACAGTTTTGACCTCTTGCATGGGTCTAGCTGTTGGCGATGTGTTGGCAATGGGGGTGACTCAACGCCGTGGCTAGATGCTTCACGGTTGACCCCCAGCCTGAGGTCTCCCAGAAGCGTCGTTGGGTCCATTGTCGCTCTTCAGGCAGCAACGGACCCAGCACCTAAACAGATAAAATAAGTTCGAAAGGGATAGAGAAGTGAGAACATAACAATGGGCGACGGAAATGGGGAGTGAGACTCAGATGACATGGGCGTCTAAGGCAGATGGTGGTGGTTGAAGGTCAAGGTGCGCGTCTGACGGGAGCCTAATTTGGAGGCGACCTTGGGCTGTTTATTGTGAAAGAAAAAGGCCTTCATTTAGACCAAAGAATCTGCCAAAAAGGGTCCCACGCAGTGCAGGCATTGTGCAGATAATCAGACCAGGACCTGTAGCACCACCAGCCAGGCTGCACTCGGTGTGGCTGTAATCCCCCTTGGACCAAGGGGGGCTTTGATTTTTTCTGACAAATTTTGTTTGCAGCACAGTGAATGTAGACTTGCAGTGTCACAGGGAAATATCATGACAGCT